TTTCTGCATCATTTAATAATTTGCCCAGAGAATCCTTCAATAATGAAAGCCGAGGCTGGAAGGTTTTTCTTCAATTACCTCTGCTTGAGAAATATTGTCTTTTTATGAAATGAAGTGACCTATTGCCTTCCATTTATACTGATCCCATATAATCTGTAAGAAGCTTTCAGTGAGTTTATAGAGCAAAATATTCTAAATAAGTGAAAGGAATCATATCTGCATATAATATGTATGTGTAGACATAAACTCAAGCACACATGTAAATACTAACCTGGTTGCACTTAAATGGATGATCACATTTTCCATGAGATAAGATGTGTTAAACTGAAATAATATTTTGAAAGTCACCTTTGAAATAAAATACATATATATTTAGTTCAGTAATATGATGAAATATTTACTTTGAATAAAGCATTTAATTTATATAATGACATTACCTAAATTCAAATTGTGAATGTGATAAAAACTATTATCTAGATAGATTTGTGAATATGCAATAATCATATTAATTATATTAATAATCATATTAATTTTAGATGTGCATATGTGATAATATCCACATGGATACTGCATATTAATGCTGAATTCAAACATTTTATTCAATAATTAAACATAATTATCTATACAAATCAGAGATGGTTATCATGAAGAATAACATCCTATTTTATTAAATTACATTAATTATAATCACAGCATAGGAGGTGGCTTCACAAAGCTTGTAAAAAATTGAAATTAAAAGCTAAGGGAATTTCCCACCAACTTTTTAAGACCCTTTGTATGCAGTGATATAACATTATTAGAATCACAATAATAAACATTGTAATTACGAATTGTTGTCTGTTTCTGTTAAGATGATTCCAACTCACGGAGACTCCTATTGCAAAGTGGAAGTGTTCCAGAGCATTTTCCACGTTGTGACCTTTTTGAAGCAGACTGCCAGGCTAGCCACTGGGTAGATTCCAACTGCCAACCTCTCTACCACTAGTTGAGAACTTAGCCATTTGCACAACCCAGGGGTTAGTCAGTTAGGACTGCATTAATTTAGAAACTTCAAGTATTTTTTTTTTCCTCTGGCGTATTTAGAATTACATTTTAAATGTTTCTAGTAAGAATCTGCAGTCTTTGCAATTATCTTCTAATTTTAAAATGGTAGCCCTAATTTCAGTAGTAGGTTTACTGGGTGGGTTTTAACTACAGCAGAATAGGATGAAATCAGAGCGCTCCTTTGCCACCATCTGCTTTTCCTTATGGTCCTTATGCTCACGGACTGTCTTGTGCACATAAGTATGCCTTTCTGATGAGACTTCACACCTAGACACTAGCAGAGAAACGGGCCTGAAGAAACTGCCTGTTGCATATAGCCCTGACCCTGAAAATTTAAACTAGAATTCTAGATCTTGAAATAAAAAATAGTCTAAATGTAAAGCCCATGTTAAAGTTATTTACGGATTAACTTCTCTTTTCCATACCAAAACCTATTGCCATAGAATCAATTCCAACTTTCATTGGTTAGAACTCTCCCGTAGGCTGGAAATCTTTAGAGAAACTGAGGGAGCTGGTGGGGTCAAACCATCAACCTCTGGTTAGCAGCTGACTGCTTTAACCACACGGCCACAATTTCTAAAATATCTCCCATTTTCAACATTTCTCCTGACTCCACGGAAAATTAAAGAAAGGTACAGATATGAACTAAATCTGTAAAACAAACCCTTTTGCAAATAAGATTCTTTATTTGCAAATCTTATTTGCAAAAGGGTTTGTTTTACAGATTTGTAGGAAAGACAGGGGCTCAAACATAACAATGATTGTGAGGATGACATACAGAGTGTTGCTAGAGTTGTAATGGACTTGGTAGCATAGAATAACAGAAGCACACAATCTAAGTATTGCTTGAGATAGTTAAGAAACAAACAATTTGCTGAGATTCCAAAAGTAAACTTGTACTTTAAAAAAAAATTTCCATAAAGCTAAAATGGACTCCTGGTGTGTCTGTAGGATCAGCATTGGATTGTTGTTGTTGTTCTTAAGTGCTGTTGAGTCAATTTCGACCCATAGCAACCCTGTATGAGGTTTCCAAGGAGCAGCTGGTGAGCTTGAACCACTGACCTTGCAGTTCAATCAACTTTGCAGCCTGACGCATTAGCCCACAGCGCCACACCAGGACTTCATCATTGGATTGGGGACCACTAAATTGGAAGTTCCAAGCTGCCAGCTGCTTCTCAGAAGCCCTATATAGTGGGGCTATGAGTAGAAACTGACTTGACAGCACTTACAACAATGACAAAAATGGGCACGTGCTAAGTGCCCTCAAGTTGCTTCGGCTTATGACACAGGAAGCACTTGCTGGTCCAGTGCCATCCACAATAGTTATTTTTGAGTCCAGTGCTGCTGTCACTGCATCAATCCATCTTCATGACCTTTGCTGACCCTCCATTTTACCAAGCAAGATGTACTAGCGATGTTGTTGTTAAAGTGCTGTCAAGTTGGTTCTGACACACTTATTGCTGTTGTTCGGGGCCGAGTCAGTACGAATTCATAGTGACCTTATGTACAATAGAACGAAACACTGCCTGGTCCTGGGTCAAACTCACATTCTTTGCTACTCCTGAACCCACTGCTGCTGCCACTGTGCCAATCAATCTCTTCTCTCCCTTTATTTGGATGTGGTTTATTGGTCCAGTGGTGAAGATTTTTCTTTTTTACATTGAGGTACAACCCATACCAAAGGTTGTGGTCTTTTCCTCCAACCCTCCACTTTACCAAGCATAACAGCCTACTCCAGTGACTGGTAGTTCCTGATAGTATGTCTGAAGTATGACAGACAAAGTCTGGCCATCCTGGCCTCCAAGGAGCACTCTGGCTGTACTTCTTCCAACACAGATCTATTGGTGCTTTAGGCAGTCCGTGCTATTTTCAGTATTCTCCTCCAACACCATAACTCAAATGAATCACTTCTTCTACGGTCTTCCTGTTCACTGTCCAACTTTCACATGCATGTGAGATTATTGAAAATACCATGGCTTGGGTCAGACACACCTTAGTCCTTAAACTGTCCTCTTTGTAGGTGTATGTATGTACATTATCCTATCATAGACAGCACTGTACTTCGACAAGTTTTGAAACGTTCTTCTTGATGATGAACAATACACGATTTCTCTTGATTTTGTCCTCAACATAGTGAACCATATGACTGAATGTTTCAAAATGACCAATATCAGTTCATTTCTGCTCACTGTTGTTATCAGGTACCCTCAAGTGACTTGGTACCGACTCATAGCGACCTTATGCACAGCAGAACAAAACACTGCCCGATCCTGGGCCAACCTTACTACTATTGCCACCCTTGAGTCCATCGATGCTGCCACCTGGCCAATCCATCTCACTGAGGGCCTTCCTCTTTTTCTCTTACCCTCCACCTTACAAAACATGATATCTTTCTCCAGCAACTGGTCCCTCCTGACAATATGTCCAAAGTATCAGAGATGAAGTTTGGCCATCTTGGCCTCTAAGGAACACTCTGGCTACACTTCTTCCAACATGGATCTGTTGGTTCTACGGGTAGTCCATGGCACTTTCAATATTCTCCTCCAACACCATAACTCAAAAGCATGAATTCTTCTAGGGTCTTCCTTATTCACTGCCCAGCTTCCACATGCATATGAGGTTATTGCAAATACCATGGCTTGGGTCAGGCGCACCTTTAGTCCTCAAGCTGACATTTTTGCTCTTCAACACTAATGCCTAGGATATTGATCTTTATGTGCTCCATTTTATTGTTCATAACTTCTAGTTTTCCTAGATTCATACTTCATAAATTCCATCTTCTAATTACTAATGGATATTTGCAGCAGTTCTCCCCATTTTGAGTTGTGTCCCACCAGCAAATGAAGGTCCCAAAAGGTTTTCTGTATTCGTGTCATCATCAGGATCAACTCTACTTCGAGAAGGCCCATTGTGTTTTGAGTGTCTTCCAACGTGAAGGGCTCACCTTCCAGTACTATATCTGACAGTATTCTGGTGCTAGTCATAATGTTATCATATTCTGACACTCTATCTGACAATGTTCCACTGCTATTAGGTTTTTAATGGCTGAACATTCAAAAGTAATCTACCTCTTTTTCCTAGTCTATCTTAGTCTGGAAGCTCAGCTGAAACCTGTCTACCATGAGTGACCCTGCTGGTATTTGAAATACTTGTGGCATAGCTTCCAGCATTATTATACCAATATGCAAGGCACCACAATCTGGCAATCTGACAGACGAATCCTTCAGTACTGTAAGTTGAGGCTCAATTTTTTTTTTTTTTTTTCCAGTTCTTTCAGCTTGAGAAATGCTGACTATGTTCTTCTCTTTTGGTTTTATAACTTTAGGTCTTCAGGTCTTTGCACATTGCATTATTATTACTTTATTTTGTCTTCTTGAGCTGTTCTTTAAAATTTTTTCTTTATCAACTTGACTTACTTTATTCTACTTGCTTTAGCATCTCTCACTGGATAGCAAGTTTCAGAGAATTTTCTGATATTCATTTTGGTCTTTCTTTTCTTTCCTGTATTTTTAATGACCTTTTGCTTTCTTCCTGTCTGATAATGTTGATGTCATCCCACAACTCTTCTGGCCTTCAGTCATTAGTGTCTAATGCATCAAATCTGTTATTGAGATGATCTCTAAAATAAGGTATGATATATTCAAGGTCATATTTTGGCTCTTCTGAACTTTGTTTTAATTTTCTGCAGCTTCAGTCTGAATTTGCATATGAGAAATTCAGGTCTATTACACAGTCTGTCCTTGGCTTTAACAGATGATATTGAACTTTTCCATCATCTCTTCCCTCAAATGTAATAAATGTGATTCCTGTACATGTCATCTGGTGAAGTCTAGGGGTATTTTCTTTTATGTTGTTTGCAAAAGGTATTTGTAATGAATAAGTCATTGGTCTTACAAATTTCTAATCATGTGATCTCCAGCATCATTTATATATTCCATATTGTTCCTTTCTCTATGTTTTCAACGTGAGCATTCCAATCACCACTAATTATAAATGCATCTTGTTTGCATGTGTGATTATTTTCAAACTGAAGAAGCTGGTGGATTTCAATTTAATACGCATTGATTTTAGTGGTCGGCATGTAAATTTGAATAATAGTGGTATTAGTTGGTCTTCTTTATGTAGGTGTAAAGATATTATCCTATCACAGATAGTGTTGTACTTCAGGATGTTGTTGCTAAGTGCCGTCGAGTCGATTGCGACCCCTAGCGACCCTGCATAGGGTTTCCGAGGAACAGCTGGTGAGCTTAAACCACCGACCTTGCAGTTCAAATGACTTTGCTGTCTGACACATTAGCCCACAGTGCTACACAAGGTACTTTAGGATAGATCTTCAAATTTTCTTTTTGATGATGAATGCAACATCATTCCTCTGCAACTTGATATTCGCAGCATAGTAAAGCAAATGTTTTTCTGATTCAAAATGGCCAAAAGCAGTCTGTTACAGTTCAAGAATGCCTAGGATACCAATCTTTTTGTCTTCCATTTCATTTTTGACAACTTCCAATTTTCTCCATTTTATACTTTATACATGCCATGTTCCAATTATTAATGGTTGTTTGCTGCTGTTTCTCCTTATTTTGAGTTGTGCCCCATCAATAAATGAAGGTCCTGGAAGCTTAACTCCATTCATGTCATCACAGTCAACTTGACTTTGAGGAGGCTGCTCTTTCCCAGTCATATTTTAAGTGCTTTCCAAGCTGAGGGATTAATATTATTTCACTATGTCTGATAATGTTCTGTTGCTCTTCATAACCTTTTAGTTTTTCAGCACTCTATCTTACAGTGATCTGCTGCTATTCCTAATATGTTCAATGGCTAAACCTTCATAAGTAGTCTGCCTCTCCTTCTTCACAGTTTTTCTAAATCTGGAAGCTCGGCTGAAACCTGTTCACCATGGTCAACTCGGCTGTTATTAAAATACTGGTGGCTTAGCTTCCAGCATCACAATGGACATGTTGTTGTTGTTACGTGCCGTGGGATTGGTTCCGACCCATAGCGACCCTGTACAGGGTTTCCGAGGCTGTAAATTTTTATGGGAGCAGAAAGCCTCATCTTTCTCTCGCGGAATAGCTGGTAGTTTCCAACTCCTGGCCTTGTGGTTTGCAGCCCGATTCATAACCACTACACTACCAGAGCTCCTTCAAACTTACTGAGTTTAATGGGTTTGTCTATGATTGATAGTTAGCTTCCTGGATCACTGGTTCTCACAGCAGGTGCAGGAAGGGAACCATCGTTTCAACTTCTCATTTGCTACAAGAAGAGCCTAAAGATTTCATTATACAAATATAAACCTGCCATTTCCAGACTGCTCAATCAATGTTTATCAGAATATTATTGTCTGTTTAATATGTGTATTAAAGGTGTCAGGAATCTGTTCTGAAATCTCATAAAATATTATAATGTGATAAAGGTGAAATATGTGGACTAGTGCTTTGTTTTGTAAAGTCTAAGTCAATATGTAAAATATCTTAATCATTTTGGTCAGTTGAATATTTTCCTCCTTACTTAATACTAATTTTGTTGTTGTTGTTTAGTGCCCAATGAAAGTGTTAAAGATATTCTAAATCAATCTGTTTTCTTCTTCCCACAGTCTAAAAAGTCTCCTGTATAGAAACTCCACTATCAGAATTTCCCAGTTGCATTTTATCAGATAAATGATCCTGTATAAAATTTTATTTTTGTCTTGGTGTTTGATTTTGGAATGTTGTCATGGGGAAACCACAGTCCCTGGAAAATGACGTCATGCTTGAAAAAGCAGAGGACCATATTGAAGATCCCTAATAATAAGGACTGACTCAGTGGTTGTAGCAGTGGCAGAAACATAACAAATTGTGAGGATGGTGCAAGACCTGACAGTGTTTCATTCTGTTGTGCATAGGATCACTATGAGTTCCAGCTGACTTGACAGCACCTAAAACAACAATGCATTCTTAATTTGGTCTTGGTATTTGAGGTTGATTCATGAAACAACTGGCTTCTGATTCTAGCTGTCAAACATTTTAACAATCATTCATATAACCCCAATTTAATTTAGGAAGATTTATGTATTTGCCTTTGAGAACATTAATTTTCATATCCATATTCCCACATGCCTTTTTATATATATATATATAATCTGCTTACCTCTTCTTTTCTTCTCAGGAAAGGATATCCAACTTTACATGTGATATTATGATTAGATTCACAACTGTCTTTTTGAATAGCCTAGAAAAAAAATGTAGAAAGAATTAAAGCAAGCTCGCAGGCTGCCTATTTGATCTTGGTCTCCTAAAATTTTCCCAGTTGTCCCTTGGTTGACTGTTTTGCCACATTAGTTTCTCAATTTAGTTGGGAGAGTCACAGCATCCTGGGGTCACATGTCCCAGACTCTAAGGATACCTGAACAATCAGTTACTTTGAGGATGACTGCAGGACAACGCACACGGAGCTCTCCGGCCTAGATTTTCCATTGTACAACTGCAACAGAAGTGCTTACTTTACAGGGAGATTTTGTTGGTTGGAGGGAAGAATTTACATTTACTGGATGACACAGAGACGTCAACAATGTAAGTTAGTTATTAGATGGGTTTACTTAGTGGGTAAGCACATGGGCTCTGAACAGGAATCACCTTTGACCTCTTAATTGATTTCAACTCAGATTAACTCTAGAGGACAGGATAGAATTGCCCCAAGCAATTTTCAATGCTGTAAACTTTATGGGCAGTCCTGGTGTGGCACTGTAGGATAAATTATGCTCTAGACTGTAAGGATGGTTTGAACTGCAAGATTGGTAGTGCAAACCCTACAGCTGCTCCTCAGAAACCCTATTCAAAGTCACTCTGAGTCAAAACCTACTCAATGACACTGAACAGCTGTCTTTATGGAAGAGTCCTAGGGTGTGGTGCTTAGGGTAAGCACTGAACTGCTAACCATGAGGTCAGTGGTTCAAAACCACCTCAGAGCCGTGGAGTGGGATCCAACTCATAGCGACCCTGCATAGGGTTTCCAATGCTGTAAATCTTCACAGGAGCAGAAAGCCTCATATTTCTCCCGCGGAACAGCTGGCAGTTTCTAACTGCTGACCTTGCATCTCTCAGCTCCATTCGTACCGACTACGCTATAGTGTAAGAGCCAACTATACACATGGACCTCACCAGATGGAATACATAGAAATCAAATTGACTAC